GGAAAAGGACGTTTGCCCTGTTGTTTCTTTGTACTTTAACTAAACATCGTCTGGGATAAGGCACAATGCGTGCTCGGACGTGACTGTGACTTCTCTCCCTGGGTCGCTGACTGGCGGTGGCTCGTGGTGCCTGGACGCGGAATTACTGGAGACGAATGTTAACCGTGAAAATAAAAGCGTCAAGGGAGTGTGCGCGCAGGTGTCGTGTGAGGGGGGAACAGTGAAGGTGAAGTACCTCGGCAGCAGTGTTTTTCATTCTTGCCTCGAGGACACTCAAATCTCAGTGACATTGAATGATTCTAAGCAAGATGGAAAGATCAAGTGCCCGAAGTACGGCGAGGTGTGCACCATTGCCGGCAACGGCAGCAGTATTGTCATTCCGAGCGTATTGGATGATGATAAGCGGGACGAGCGAGGAGAGGAAGGAGAAGCGGCTGTGGTTGCTCCGGCGTTGTCTCCCGGAGCGGAAGCTCGTACAAAGGCGTCTCCTGCCGATTTGCCTGCTGCGGAGCACTCGTCTGAAGAGGGACCCAGTGAAGAAGCGTCCACTGCAGAAGCGTCTCCTCCAGGTAAAAATTCTGAAGCTCCAGTGGTGCAAGCGGCATCGAAGCAGCCTCAACAAGAAAGTGAAGCAGAACAAATGACAGCGGTGGAGGCATCTACCACTACACAGCAAGTGCCGGCGAATTCATTGCAGGGAAGTGTGGGGTGGGCGACGGCTTCGAACATCCCTGCCGTTGGAGAAACAACAGGTGATGCCGGCACCATGCGTGGGAGCGGGGCGGTGCCGTTGCTTCTGCTGTTGGGACTGTGGGGGTTTGCAGCTCTGTGAGGAGTGACTGGCTGCCGCGTGGGACAATTGCGGCCTCCCCTGCACAGAATTAGTTCCCCGGGAAAAAATTTCTGCCAATTTTTTTGGTGTTTTTTGCGCGTATTTTAATTTTTTTTTTTTTTTTTTTTTTTTTTTTGCTTCTTTTTTTTCTTGTTTCGTTCTTCTTTTATTTCATTTTCTTTTATCTCTCACTCCCCCCATTCCTTCTTTTTTTTGATTTTGGGGGCAATCACTATGGACGTTTTTTTATTTTCTACTCTTCCCCTTTGTAATTGTTTCCTGCTGCGCTCTTCCCGTGAGGGGTGCCGTGTGTTTCCCGCCCAACTGCTCCACTCGCACACCCACCGACACGCTCATGACGACGGCCCTGTGCGCCTCGCCTGCTGCACGCATGAGGAGGGGCCGCGACGTGTGGGCGTGCGACGAGGGCCGGTGGGGCGGAGCACACATTTCTTTCCCTCTTGTTTTGTTTTCTTTGCGGCCAGGGCGGGCAGACACCCGCAGCGCCACACACACACACACAGCCACGCCCTGCCGCTCTTCAAAGGATTCTTTCGTGCTTTGCGTGTTTATTTTGCGCGCCGGCATTTCTTTCGGGGCCTGTCTTGCGAGCATTTCTTTCGCCCCGATGTTTTTTTTTCTTTTGCTGCGCTCACTCTCCCGATGGAGAGACGCGACTGCCGTCATGTTTTTTCTTGCTTCTCTCGCCCCCCACACACACAAGAAGAGTGACTGTGCGCTGCGGGCCGCCCTCACGCGCCGATGAAAGGGCTGAGGGGAGCAGCAACGCGCAGACGACGCCGTGAAATGTAAACGATGTGTGGACACACAGAGGGTCAGACACCCGAAAGACATGTAAATATCCTTTTAATTTTCTTTTGTGGGCAAAATATATGCAGACAGTTTGGTGGGGCCACACGGCAGCCAGGCGAATTTTCTTACTTTTAAATTTGTGTGGAACAGTGATGGACGGTTTCTTTTCTAATATAATTATTTTGTGCGGTGGAGTTTGTATGGGATGAAGGGGGAGCGTTTGATTTGTTTTAAATAAATTTTGTCTGGGTTGCCACTGCTTGGGCTGCAGTGCAGTCATGAGTTTGAGCGGTCTTCTTGTAGTTGTTTCCGCCATGCACCTCCGCTGTACATTTTGATGCGTCTCTCCGCATACTCCGCTCCCTTTTTTCTAATATTTTGCTTTGTGCTTCTGCGGGCACACACGCACACAAGATGCACATTGCAGTGGGTTTGAATGCTTCTTTTGTGGTGCATGCTGGCAGCTGCGTGTGGCGGCCGTTGTCCTCTTCCGTGGCCGTAAGGAGAAGGGAGGAGAGAGGGAGTGCGCAGCCCGAGTCTCCTTTTCCGCGGGTGTGGTGCACCGCGTGTGACCGCATGGAGTGAGGCGCGGCATCTTGTTGAGGGCGCGATGGCAGTGTAAATTCATGTCGCCGCGTCGTGGATGGTTGGGGATCCGCTTCGACGTGTGGCTGGTGGTTTGGGTGTGGGCGCCTTGTGCTGGCTGCGGGGATGTGGCCATATCCGTTGGTTGTGAGAATGGGATGGAGGAGGATGAGGTTGTGGATCTCTCCTTCTTGTCCATGGTGGGTGACTGCTGGCGGTGTGTGTGTGTGTGTTGTGTGTGTGCGGTCTCGCAGTCTGTGGACTGTGTGGGCTGTGGCTGCCTCTTGCCATGCTGTGTGCTCTCTTTGTGCGTGTTTTCATGCTGCGCCTCTCTCCCTCTCGCTCTCCCTCTTGTTCTGTCTTTCACTTCCCCACTCGGTGTGCAGATCAGCGGACTGACCCCAGCAACACTAGGAAGGATGATGGCTACTGTGATGACGACGACTGCGCTGCGCCGTGAGGTGTGCGCCCTGTTGTCCCTCGCGCTGTTGTGCTGCTGCGCTTCTGTGTGCGTGGCGGCTGCGGCTGCGACGGGGACTGCTGTACAATCAACTGAGTTGTATTCCGGTACCTCTGCCGTGAACGTGTCGGTGGAGGTCTCGTGTGCGGACAGTAACAAGAAGTTGCAATGGCGCTTCCCTGGCCAGAAAGATTGGAATAAGTGTGCACTCGCACAGGGCGCTCATGACTACACTGTTCTCCCGAGCATTGCTGACCAGAAGAACACTGTTGATCAGGAGAACACTGAATACTACACTGTGGGTACATCTGACAGTGATGATGATGTTGAGGTTGTTACCTTTGATACGGTAATTGAGGATCCCGGCCGTGTCGGTGAGTTACTGTGCCTCTCGGCCGAACAGATGTACTCGGCTGCAAAATGTAATGAATCCTGCAAGTCCGTCGGTGTGGAAACAATTGCGTTTACGATGGAATATTTGACGGATAAAGAAAGTGGTGTGTACAAGAAGTGGCTGGTATATAATAATTCTTCTAATTCTGCTGCGGTTAGCACCCCAGGCGTCTGTTCGTTAAAAACTCCTGTTGAGGAGGCACCTGTGAAGGCTAACGGTGGATCTCCAGAGGCCGCTGCAGTAACGCCGACAGCACAAGTGACAGCCGTGGGGGCACCCGCAGCGGGGCAGGCTGCAGGCAGTTCGAGTTCAGCTGCGAGTGGGGCCTCATCATCGGCACAGACTATTGAGCAGAGGATATCCCCAGCGGACCCACAAGCCGGGAACACTTCGCAGCTGCCAACAGGCGAAGGGGTTGGCAGAACGGATGCATCCGGGACGACGCAAACACCCTCAGCCACTCCCGCCAGCGGCAATGGTGGGGCCTCCGGTGCAGCCACGGCCGGTGCTGCCTCACAGTCCGGTAAACCGAAATATACGAAGGAGGCCAACAACAGTGCCACCACTGGAGCGCAGGGTCCCGGCACGTCGGACAGCAGCGCCATCGCCACTGCGTGGGTGCACACACCACTGCTGCTGCTGCTGCTGACCGCCCTTGCATGTGCCGCTGGGCAGCGGTGCGGAGCAGCCACACACGAATGATGAAAGGTGCGACTCGTCCCCTGTATGTGTGTGTCTATTCTGCCTGACGCCCTGTGGGCAAATCCTCCACCTCAATTTAGGAAATGTTTTTGCTATGTCTTTTTTCCAGTGTCTGGTTGCTGTACACCGTCGTGGATGACGAGTTCCCTCTTTTGTTTGCTTCTGCCACCCACACGCGGTGCCGGCCTCGCTGCTGTGCGTCCCACGGACTGCACAAACGAGGAGTGGAGGAGCGGGCCGGATGCCGCATGGAATGTGAGGGTTGTTGTGTGGGCTGGTGGAGGAATGCGATCTTTTCTCATGCTTCATTACTTATTTGTGTGCGGGCAATGTACGCCCACACCCATTCCCCTGTGTTTTTGGGACACGTGAAATGAAAACTTTTGCTGAGAGATGTTTCTTTTCTTTTTTTTCGCCTCCCGGGAGTTCTTCTGGACTCTCAACTTTCTTTTGTTTTCTTTCTAAATTTCTCGTTGCTTTTTCTATATATTGTATTGCTTTGTTCTTGCAAATCATTTTCCTTCTTTTGCTTGTTGCTTTAGGGCAACCACCATGGACGTTTTCTACTCTTCCCTCTTTTAATTGTTTCTTCTGCACTCTTCCTGCGAGGGTGCCGTGTGTTTCCCGCCCAACCGCTCCACTCGCACACCCACCGACACGCTCATGACGACGGCCCTGTGCGCCTCGCCTGCTGCACGCATGAGGAGGGGCCGCGACGTGTGGGCGTGCGACGAGGGCCGGTGGGGCGGAGCACACATTTCTTTCCCTCCTGTTTTGTTTTCTTTGCGGCCAGGGCGGGCAGACACCCGCAGCGCCACACACACACACACAGCCACGCCCTGCCGCTCTCCAAAGGAATTCTTTCGTGCTTTGCGTGTTTATTTTACGCGCCGGCATTTCTTTCGGGGCCTGTCTTGCGAGCATTTCTTTCCCCCCGATGTTTTTTTTTCTTTTGCTGCGCTCACTCTCCCGATGGAGAGACGCGACTGCCGTCATGTTTTTTCTTGCTTCTCTCGCCCCCCACACACACAAGAAGAGTGACTGTGCGCTGCGGGCCGCCCTCACGCGCCGATGAAAGGGCTGAGGGGAGCAGCAACGCGCAGATGACGCCATGAAATGTAAACGATGTGCGGACACACAGAGGGTCAGACACCCGAAAGACATGCAAATATCTTTTCAATTTTCTTTTGTGGGCAAAATATATGCAGACAGTTTGGTGGGGCCACACGGCAGCCAGGCGAATTTTCTTACTTTTAAATTTGTGTGGAACAGTGATGGACGATTTCTTTTCTAATATAATTATTTTGTGCGGTGGAGTTTGTATGGGATGAAGGGGGAGCGTTTGATTTGTTTTAAATAAATTTTGTCTGGGTTGCCACTGCTTGGGCTGCAGTGCAGTCATGAGTTTGAGCGGTCTTCTTGTTGTAGTTGTTTCCGCCATGCACCTCCGCTGTACATTTTGGTGAGTCTCTCCGCATACTCCGCTCCCTTTTTTCTAATATTTTGCTTTGTGCTTCTGCAGGCACACACGCACACAAGATGCACATTGCAGTGGGTTTGAATGCTTCTTTTGTGGTGCATGCTGGCAGCTGCGTGTGGCGGCTGTTTTCCTCTTCCGTGGCCATGTGGAGAAGGGAGGAGAGAGGGAGTGCGCAGCCCGAGTTTTTTTTCCTGTAGCTGCGTTGGATTGGGCTCCGTGTTCCAGTGAGGACTGGATGGCAGTGTAAATTCATGTCGTCGCGCCATTAATGGCTGAGGGTTTGCTTGCGCCGTGTGTGTTGTGTGGTGGCCGTGGGGCTTTCGGCCACTTCCTTGGGGTTGTGGAAATGAGCGGGGGGAGATGGTGGTGGGTGCCGTCTCGTGGTGTGTGAACTGTGCTACTTGGCCTGCTGCCCTCTCCTCATTTTTTCTGCTCTCTCTCGCTGTATCCGCCGTGCTCTGTTTCTCTCCCTCTTGTTCCATTCTTTTTCTTCTGTCCCACAGATCAGCTCACTGGCTCCAGCGACTCCACTACGGGTGACGGTGCGGCGCCGTGTTGTTCCTTGGGCTCTTGTGCTGCTGCTTCTCGTCCGTGTGCGTGACGGCTGCTGGGATTCCTGGACATGTATCTGGTGATGCGGATACGGTGGTTGTGGCAGTGGATGTGTCGTGTCCTCCGAGTGACGGCAGCCTGAGCTATCGCGTGCGTGGGGGTGTGTGTGGGCGTGGACGAAGTCTTCTGCTGCCGGTGCTGAGGCTCAGTATGAGAATTGTACTTTCAGTGGCTTTGATGTGCGCATGCATAGTAGAAATGGTGCGCTGGGTGCTGTGTTTCATGTGGCCAATGCGGTGCACACATCTAACAACTGTGCTGCCAGCTGTGCAACGAAAGGGGAAGGGGCCACCGTTGCCTTCACGATGAATGTGACGGCACATGAATACGCCGGCCCTTATGAATTGTGGCGGCGTCAATTTTCTTCCGATGGAACCATCCATCCGCCTGCACGGAGCAGCGATGCTGACCAGACGGGCATCTGTCAGTTGCCGCCACCCCGTGAAGGGAAGGATGAGAGAAAATCCGCTGGGACAACTGCGCCGCAAGTCAGTGCCGAGCCGTCACGTCAAAACGAGGGTGCGCGACAGTCTGCCGCGGCTTACGCACCCAACACCGTCGATCCGAGTCCCGCATCCAACACTGCGACCGACACGTCTAGGAAAAAGCCTCGCATTGCAAACGATCCGAAAGAAAACGTGGCTCCAACACCACCCAAGAGGAAGCCTAGCATTGCCATGAGTCGGAACATGGAAATGGATCCGAATGCATTCGTGACGAAGACTGCGCCCCGCCACCGCGTTGAGGATGACAGTGGGCTCGAAGGATGCCCGTAAGAGTGAAGCCGTTGACGGCAGCGGCGAGCACGTTCCTGGGGAAATTGCGGGAGGAATGAATGGTCGCAACGTCCCCGGAACACCAAAACGGCATCAAGAAATGTGACCTTGCGCGATCTGGAGCGGCGTGAGTCCAGACGGCCGCCTCGCCCTGTTTGACGACGTGAATTTGATACCACGCGATTCAACTGGCGACCGCACTGCGCGTGTGTGCGTCTCGGGCGTTGCTGCTGCTGGAACTGTGTGGGGTTGTGGTAGTCCTTCGAGCGAAAGAGGGTGGAATTGTGACTCCCCACGGGGGATATTTGCCGCATACTTTGCGGTTTTCATGTCACTGTTTTTTCTGTTCTTTTTTAATGATTTACAGATCGCTTTTTAAACCTTTTTTTCCTCTTTGTTACTGTTTTTCCCTTTTTTCTTCTTTGTAAAGTTCTTTTTGATGCTTTTTTCCTCTGGAGTGATAAGTACCCTTTTTTTCTCCTCATTATTTAATGTTCGGTTGATGTGCACTGGAATGGGCGAAGTGCTTCCCTCTCTTTTGTGTGTTTCTTTTTTGTTGTTGCCCACACGCGGTGCCGGCTCCGCTGCCGTGCGTCCCACGGACTGCAGGAACGGGGATTGGAGGAAGAGGACGGATGCCGCATGAAATGTGAGGGATGTTGTGTGGGCTCGTGAAGCAGTACAATCAGTTTTTATTTTTATTTTAATTTCGTTTTCTTTGTGCAGGCAATATGTATGTACAGAAGCACAAGGTCGTTTTATTGCACTGCTTAGCGCATGAAATAAAAATTCTGCTGAATGAATTTTCTTCATTGTTTCCGGGAGCCCTGCCGGACACTCAAATTGCTTTTTGTGTTTTTTCCTGCTTTTTTTAGCTTTCTGTTTGCGGGGCGGTGTGCGAGTTCTGCAGTCGTACCAATTCCAACTGCCTCATTGTGTGTTTGTTGCTGCTGCTATCATTTGTTACTGTGCGGTGGCGGGGTATTAGTTTGTGCTGAAGGCTACTCGCAAGTGACAGGAGTGATGATGGCGATGATGATGACTGGCCGTGTGCTGCTGGTGTGTGCCCTCTGCGTGCTGTGGTGCGTTGCCGGCGGTGTTTATGCGAGGGACCTCGACAACAATGCACAGGAAGGCTGCATGGCGTCGGGAGTGTTGGGTATGAATGCATCGTATGTGCCGAACGGATGTAATAAATACATGCCGATGCCGCCTTTGCGGTCAGCACTGCCTATCCCTGCCATACAAGCCGAAGATGAGCAATTGACGGACGTTTCTCAGGATGGGACCAATTCAACCTCAGTCAATGCTCCAGAATCTGGTTCTGGAGTTGGAAGCGGAGGTTCTCCGGGCCCTGCTGCTTCTCCTGGTTCTCCGACAGGTGCTGGTGGTCCTGCTGCTGCTGCTGCTGCTGCTGGTCCTGCTGGTCCTGCTGGTCCTGCTGCTGCTGCTCCTGCTGCTCCAAATGTTGTTCCAGGTGCTGCTGCTGCTGGTGGTGGTCCTAATGGTCCTGCCGGTGTTACTGGTGGTAATGCTGGCTCTTCCGGTGCCACGGATGTTCTTGGTGCCGCGGTTTCTTCTGATGTTCCTTCTTCTCTTCCTGCTGATTCAGAAAATAGTAATGCGGATTGCGGAGAGGAAGCGTCGGATTGCGGAAATCAAGAAAAGTTGGAAAAGACAAAAGTGGAAAATCAGGAATTGGAGGCATCCAAAACACAAAAAACTCCAGCGACACAAAATACGAAATCAAAAGACAATGAGGAGAACTCAACGGAAGCATCAAGTACGGAATTGCAGAATACGGAAACCCAACAAGAAATAAAACCGCCAGTAGATGAGAATGACACTACGAGCACCGATGCATCCACAGCGGTTGCCGCACAGAGTACATCGGCCGGTATTCAAGAAGAAGCAACTGAGTCATCCTCCGATGGCAGTCATTCTCCACTTCAGGGGGAAGTATTCACTGGAACGGACACTCCCGAGAATGCTCCATCTCCGGCTGCCGCGGAAGCAGAAAAACGCCAAGGAGAAAATGTGACGAAAGATGGCGACAGCGACAGCACCACCGCGGTCTCCCACACCACCTCCCCTCTTTTGCTTCTTGTTGCTTGTGCGGCTGCTGCTGTGGTGGTGGCCGCGTGAGAGTGAGGGAGAGAGAGCCGTGCACCGCCCGCACACACACTCGTCTTTCACTCTCTCTCTCTGTGTGTGTCCCCTTGCATGGACTCTCGCCCTCACCTCATCCCACGAAGCACACACATAATGTGCCCATTGTATATATTGCATGCACACCCATGCAGGCCCGTTGGTGCTCTCTTTTGTACCACACGCACCGCTGCCGTTCTGCCTGGCTGCAGGGGCGGAGCACTGTAACTGTTTCTGTTTTTGTTTTTATTGCATTGAGTGGGCGACCTCTCTCTCTCTCTCTCCCTGTGTGTGTGTTTTGCTTTACGGGAGCAATGAGAGTGTGTGCGCTGGTCGTCCCACGCTTCTTCTTTTTGTTTTGTTTTTCATTGTTTTGTGGTTGAGAGCACCCATTCCGCGGGCTGCGTGTGTGTGTTTGTGTGTGATGATATGAGTAATTTGTGCGTGTGCTATCCGCTTCTTTTTGTTGTTGCTTTCTTCTGACTCTCTTGTGGCGCACAGCTGCTCTGCAATTATAGGCGCTGACGAACACACAAGCACATGCACAGACACGCACACCATGTGGCACACGCTGTGTAGCGGCGCAAAAGCTGAGGACGCACGCACGCTGCGGATGTTCACGGCGGACACTATGGGCCCCTGTGTGTTGGCGGTTGTGGTTGCCTTTGGCCACGCTCACATCTAAAGTGTTGGAACGGCGGCGTGGTCGTGGGCCGGTGGAGAGATCAGCGGCGGACACGGTGACTTCCACGCCGTGGGCTCACAGTAACCTTTTGGGCAGTGGGCGGTCCGGAAGAAACGGTCATGATAATTGCAACGCCGTCACGCTTGTTTTTGAGCATCCCGAGAGAAACAGTAAAAACATATTTGCACGCATGAGTCTTTCCATTCCCGCTTCAGGGCTGCCCATCGTAATGAGGTTGCCGTGCGGTGGCGTCACCCCTATGAGCTGTTGGGATAGAAAGGGAGAGCGCTGTGCAAGTGGTGGCTGTTGCGTGGCCGGTCAGACAAATACTGCGACACCACGATGAGAGCAGACCAAACACTCCGCGTGTAGGGAGCGTTGTGGCCGATGAAGAATGCGTGCGACGGTGATGGACGTTCCCTCGACGGTGGATTGACGGTTTTCCCTTTGATGGAGTCGGTGCGCACGCGGTGCGTGTGGCTGCCTCTGTGGTCTCCTGTTACTCCGCTGCTTGTGCCGCATCCTGACGCATCACTGGCACTAAACTGTTTCCTTTTTCTCCTCCCTCTTTTTTCTTTGCCTCTCTCCTCCCACAGCCAGGCTGCACTGCTGCTGCTGCTGCTACTCACACGAAGCAAAGAAATGCAATTTCCTCAAGCCATGCGCCAGCCACGCCACGCCACGCCGCTTCTCTCATTGGTGGTGTTGCTGCTGGTGTACAGCGCCAGTCGGTGTATTGCCACTGCTGCTCCCGCCACACAATACCGCTGTGGGTTTGACGTGATGATGAGAAGGAGCGGCCCGCTGCCGACTGCGGTGGTGCGTGAGGTGCCGCGCAAGGCACAGGGCGCGATGCAGACGTACACCGTCGCCACACAGGATGACGACAGTGACTGGAGGCCGATCCGCATCAAGGTGTTCACGGAGGATCTGGAGAGCACAAAAGCATGGAAGAAGATGTTCTGCGAAAAGGCTGGGGAAACATGCGAAACTGTCTTGGGGAAAGGTAAGCTGTGAAGCAGGGCATATATTTTTGCAGGAAAAGAAACAACTGTACACTCAAAAGATTATCCCCGGTGCTGTCAAACTGCACGCTGAGCGGCTAATTGTGAAACCCACTGCTGATAAAATAGAGTTTCCGAGGAATATGGTAAGCCCTTGCGAACAATTTACGGTTCCTACTGGACACATGTCTGGTGGTGTGCCTGATGCTGACTTTATCATCTACGCCGCTGCTAGGCCATCAAGTGCTGAGAGCAGGGCTGTGTGGGCGGCCACGTGTATCACATGGGGTGATTCTCGTCCCTCTATTGGCGCCATGAACTTTGATCCAAAGTACATGACTGACACGGCGTGGAGCGTTCGCGTTGCTGCACACGAGCTTGCACATGCTCTTGGGTTTAGCCAAGAGAAAATGGAAGAAAAGAGCATATTGAACTCTGAATACATTGTGCGTGGGATGCGGCGTAAGGTGGTGGCGGGGAATCACGTTAAGGCGAAGATGCGAGCCCACTTTGGTTGTAACTCTCTCGAGGGAATGGAGCTGGAGGACGAAGATGGTGCATCGGCAAGAAGGATCCCTCACTGGAAGGAACGCCACGCGCGGGACGAGCTGATGGCTCCCACAGTCAGTGCCGGCTACTACACGGCACTGACGATGGCGGTGCTCGCGGATATGGGGTACTACCGCGTGAATTGGAGGATGGCGGAGCCGATGAGCTGGGGCCACCGCACTGGCTGCAACTTCCTGGAGAAGAAGTGCAGTGAAATCCAAAGACTCGCCAGCAGTAGTCCTCACATGTTCTGCGATACTAATGACAATGAGACACTTCGCTGCACCTCTGACCGCCGTTACTTCGGGACGTGCACCGCAAACATCGTTGAAAACAAGGGGAATCCTGCGGATAAGGACGTTTGCCCTGTTGTTTCTTTGTACTTTCACGAAACATCGTCTGGGATAAGGCACAATGCGTGCTCGGACGTGACTGTGACTTCTCTCCCTGGGTCGCTGACTGGCGGTGGCTCGTGGTGCCTGGACGCGGAATTACTGGAGACGAATGTTAACCGTGAAAATAAAAGCGTCAAGGGAGTGTGCGCGCAGGTGTCGTGTGAGGGGGGAACAGTGAAGGTGAAGTACCTCGGCAGCAGTGTTTTTCATTCTTGCCCCGAGGACACTCAAATCTCAGTGACATTGAATGATTCTAAGCAAGATGGAAAGATCAAGTGCCCGAAGTACGGCGAGGTGTGCACCATTGCCGGCAACGGCAGCAGTATTGTCATTCCGAGCGTATTGGATGATGATAAGCGGGACGAGCGAGGAGAGGAAGGAGAAGCGGCTGTGGCTGCTCCGGCGTTGTCTCCCGGAGCGGAAGCTCGTACAAAGGCGTCTCCTGCCGATTTGCCTGCTGCGGAGCACTCGTCTGAAGAGGGACCCAGTGAAGAAGCGTCCACTGCAGAAGCGTCTCCTCCAGGTAAAATTCTGAAGCTCCAGTGGTGCAAGCGGCATCGAAGCAGCCTCAACAAGAAAGTGAAGCAGAACAAATGACAGCGGTGGGGGCATCTGCCACTACACAGCAACTGCCGGCGAATTCATTGCAGGGAAGTGTGGGGTGGGCGACGGCTTCGAACATCCCTGCCGTTGGAGAAACAACAGGTGATGGCGGCACTGTGCGTGGGAGCAGGGCGGTGCCGTTGCTTTTTCTTCTGTTGGGACTGTGGGGGTTTGCCGCTCTGTGAGGAGTGACTGGCTGCCGCGTGGGACAATTGCGGCCTCCCCTGCACAGAATTAGTTCCCCGGCAAAAAATTTCTGACATTTTTTTTGGTGTTTTTTGCGCGTATTTTAAATTATTTTTTTTTTTGCTTTTTTTTTTTCTTGTTTCGTTCTTCTTTTATTTCATTTTCTTTTATCTCTCACTCTTCCTGTGAGGGGTGCCGTGTGTTTCCCGCCCAACCGCTCCACTCGCACACCCACCGACACGCTCATGACGACGGCCCTGTGCGCCTCGCCTGCTGCACGCATGAGGAGGGGCCGCGACGTGTGGGCGTGCGACGAGGGCCGGTGGGGCGGAGCACACATTTCTTTCCCTCCTGTTTTGTTTTCTTTGCGGCCAGGGCGGGCAGACACCCGCAGCGCCACATACACACACACAGCCACGCCCTGCCGCTCTTTAAATGAATTCTTTCGTGCTTTGCGTGTTTATTTTACGCGCCGGCATTTCCTTCGTGGCCTGTCTTGCGAGCATTTCTTTCGCCCCGATGTTTTGTTTTCTTTTGCTGCGCTCACTCTCCCGATGGAGTGACGCGACTGCAGTCATGTTTTTTCATGCTTCTCTCGCCCCCACACACACAAGAAGAGTGACTGTGCGCTGCGGGCCGCCCTCACGCGCCGATGAAGGGGCTGAGGGGAGCAGCAACGCGCAGATGACGCCATGAAATGTAAACGATGTGCGGACACACAGAGGGTCAGACACCCGAAAGACATGCAAATATCTTTTCAATTTTCTTTTGTGGGCAAAATATATGCAGACAGTTTGGTGGGGCCACACGGCAGCCAGGCGAATTTTCTTACTTTTAAATTTGTGTGGAACAGTGATGGACGATTTCTTTTCTAATATAATTATTTTGTGCGGTGGAGTTTGTATGGGATGAAGGGGGAGCGTTTGCTTGGTTTTAAATAAATTTTGTCTGGGTTGCCACTGCTTGGGCTGCAGTGCAGTCATGAGTTTGAGCGGTCTTCTTGTTGTAGTTGTTTCCGCCATGCACCTCCGCTGTACATTTTGGTGCGTCTCTCCGCATACTCCGCTCCCTTTTTTCTAATATTTTGCTTTGTGCTTCTGCGGGCACACACAACCACACACGCACACAAGATGCACATTGCAGTGGGTTTGAATGCTTCTTTTGTGGTGCATGCTGGCAGCTGCGTGTGGCGGCCGTTGTCCTCTTCCGTGGCCATGTGGAGCAGGGAGGAGGGAGGGAGTGCGCAGCCCGAGTCTCCTTTTCCGCGGGTGTGGTGCACCGCGTGTGACCGCATGGAGTGAGGCGCGGCATCCCGTTGAGGGCGGGTTGGCAGTGTAAATTCATGTCGCCGCGTCGTGGATGGTTGGGGATCCGCTTCGACGTGTGGCTGGTGGTTTGGGTGTGGGCGCCTTGTGCTGGCTGCGGGGATGTGGCCATATCCGTTGGCTGTGAGAATGGGATGGAGGAGGATGAGGTTGTGGATCTCTCCTTCTTGTCCATGGTGGGTGACTGCTGGCGGTGTGTGTGTTGTGTGTGTGCGGTCTCGCAGTCTGTGGACTGTGTGGGCTGTGGCTG